GCTCATAATTCAAATATCTTTTATGAACTGCGAAAGCAGTTCCGGGGGTTGGTGAGCGCCAGCGAGCAGGGGGCGGAGCCTCCTAGTACCAATATAATACCTGATATAATAAATATTCCATATTTATATAATAGATCGTTTCATTTATCTAATCGTCGAATTCATATTATATATCGTCTAATTTAAACAATACGAGCGTAAACAAGTTCAAGTCGCGTAAAAACAATAAAGCTGTATAGTATCACCAGATAATTATGATTTTAATAATAATTTTGCCAGAAGCTGTAGATGTTTAAATGCTGGCGTCGGTTTAAGCGCTACGTGAATTATAAAAACACGAATTTATTTCCAACAAGTGAGTAGAGGTGACAAGCGAGACCTTTTACGATAATGATGCCACATAAGATGGCTCATTTATTTTGATAGCCAAATATTCCCAACTCATTAACAAAAAGACCCGCCAAAATGGTTTTGGTTCCTGTTCTCTGAAGTGAGGGGGTGAAGACCGATCTCATTTTTCAATTAAGCCGAAAAGTTTTAATTATTCTATTTTGTTAGGAGCGCAAACCTTTATGCGAAGAACACTTTTTCTTCTCTCCTAACAAACAATCCCTATAATAATTAAGAACCTACAACAGGTTCTTCGAAGAAATTTTATCGCCCCTATTTGGGAGAAACTCCGCAAAGAACTCTTAAATGAAAATATGGATTCTTCAAAGCTCCAAGGAAAAATGGCTTGCCTCAAATTCAAAGCAAATCTTCTGTACTATTGTTCTGAAAAGAACTGTTTGGAACGGATAAAAAAGATCTAATACAGTTATTGAAAGAACTTTCATAAAAGCTCATTTATTTAGTTTTTTTTACCTAATATCAAAAAATAATTCTTGCATATTTTCATAAGCAGAGTAAATCACTTATTTTTTCAAATTTTTTTTGTTGCCATTTTCATAATTAGCAAATAATAATCATGAATAAGCAGAGAACATATTATTAGATGAAAAACATTACTCTCCTGGATTGCAGAACTTTAATCGTTAAGCAAGTTTTAGATTATGTAAATCATAATTTTTTAATTATCTTGAGATAACAATTTGTGAAAATGCAAAGAGTCCTATACTTCTTTTTTTACATTAAAACTTAATTTTAGTTCATTTGTCTTAAAAATTATTCTTCAAAGAAATTATTTTTAAGAAACTTAATAAAATAAAAAATGCTGAATTAAGAAAGTGACATTTAGTGAAATATTGCACGTTTTACTGAAATGCATAGATACATTATGCATTATGTATATAACGCGTATACTAAGCTGTACATTGACTACTTATTTATAATGAGTTGTCACATATTTTGATATTAGTTCCCTAATTCAAATTGAAAAATGACCGGATTTTTTTTAATCTTCAAAACTCCCAATTTTCCTTAGATGTCAGAGTTTGTGCATCCCTGGGCCATCTGAGTCAACGATTTTCATACTAAACGATAGAAGATGGACCTGCTGCTTCAGGGAAAAAAATATTCTACTGCTTCTAAACATTACATGGATTTTTTTTCCTTTCCTTCTTAGGTTGTGCCACGTTGTTTCCACTAAAGATGTTCTGGATGAATGTTTTATTGCTTTTCCTAGTTAGTAGCACTCTTACTTGGCAAATTTTGTAACTTGGTTAGGAAATGGGTGAAAAATAAACTGTATCTTAAACTTCTTCCGTTTTTCTTTAACTCATTTCGTAAATCGCCGATATGACTTTCAATTAGTGCCCTGAAAAATGTTGCTCATTTCAAAATGACACATGAAGTGAGTGTTAAAGAGGGTCTCTTCATTCTAGAGCTAACACAATAGACCGAAGAAAAATATTAACCTACTCTTTCGCATCTCAGCTGTTCTAAACAGTGACCCCACACCCCTACTAGAAATAGTCACAGGCACGGATCCAGAATAATGGTTAGGGGAGTTCTTACTTTAGACAAACTATACCATTAGTTCTGTGCATGAAAGAAGAAGAATTACCTGGGCCTCCTTGTTGTGACATCTTTCATCACCATCACCTCTGGAAATTCTCGATTTCTTGATAGTGTAAAAGTGAAGAGCTCTGCAAAAGTTTTTTTTTTTTACCTACCAAAATTGAGAAGTTGATTAACTTTTATGTTTACGCTTTTTACAAAGGTTTTCCATTCGTTAATTTTTTAATTATCTTAAGATGATAATTTATGAAAATGTTAAACTTTTAAAGAGTCCTATATTTCTTCTTTTTTTTTATATTGGAACTTAATTTTAGTTTATTCTACTTGAAAATTATTTTCAAAGAAATTATTTTTAAGGAACTCAATAAAATAAAAAATACTAAATTTAAAAAAAAAATGGCATTTGGGGAAATATTGCATGTTTGACTGAAATGTATAGATAAATAATGCATTATGTACGTAACACGCATGTTAAGCTGTTTTTTCCCCGACCCCACATTGTGTTTTGGAAAGTTGAGACACCTTATGTGTATAAAAGAACAAGTGTGTGAATAAAGAAGAGATGACTAATTACCTTGACCTCCTTGTTGTGGGATCCTTCATCACCATCACCTCTGTTATGTCTCCGTATTTACTGAAGTATTCTCTGAGGCCCTCTGAAAAGACAACAACAACAAAATCACTCATATCCTATAAAACTTGTAATTACTTGATCTTGTGAAAAAAGTATGTTTATTCAGTTAAGTACGTTTTTGCGTCTGATTTCATAACTTAAAATATCGTCCGCACTAGTTAATGAGCATATTTGAGGTCAACCCCTTGAACCATTAAGATTGAATCCTAAAACGTGAAAATCCGATCATTATGTTAAAAAGTTAGTCAATTCAAGGTGAGTTTTTTTTTTTTGCTCACTGTACATTAGCGTTGTTCTTCTCGAATTCAGAGTATCCCGTTGTAACATATGATTACGAGAGCAAATGGATACAAGTCACATGCTGATTGTCATGTTTCCTGTCACAGGGAAGTTCAAAAACACTCTTTTGCACTTTATTGCTGATGTATCAAATCTCTAAAAGCTTTAACTTTATTGATACATATGAGTAATCGCTTGATCTAAACGCATCTGAAATTATAAAATAATTATCTGTGTATTTCATGAGAAATTTGAAAAAGATAATCAAAAACTGAAATCGTCTCTTCCATTATTCTAGAGTAGTGTATTTACCACTTTCGAAATCTTCATTTTATAAGTTTACTTGAGTTGATCTCGACCAGATATGATGTTGAGTTGATGTTACCAGACATAAAATTTAACACTTCCATTGAAATTTTTCAAAATATAAAAAATTTAATTCAAGTGAATTTGAAAACCGTTCCCAATTTGGACTGTTATAACGATCTAAAGTTGTCATTAAGAAAAAATTACCTCCCATTTCTTCTTATTATGTTTACAATCGTAAGTAAAAAAATTTTTTTTCAAGTACAAAGTAAAAGTGAAGTTCAAGCAAAGTTTCAAAAGTAGTCAAGTACAAGTTAAGTGCTTTTTTTCTTCAAAATATGATTATTTTTCAAATCCCGGTAATTTTTCCTTTTTTTACGATTTACATAATAGCAAAATGTGTTTGCATGAAATTATAATAATTATATATTTTATTAACACAATGTTCGTAGCGTGTTGAGGAAAACATCGATTTTTAAGAAAAAAAATCAATAAGTGAGAACAAACCACGGGGTCGGTGATCGCAGCCTCCTTATTCAATAAAAAGGTACAATAGGTTGTTTTATAAAATATCCCTTATTAAAAAAAATAGAGTTAACCTAAATTTCTTATTTCATGCAAATTATTTCTATCTTATTTGGAAATTAATACACTTACGGCTTATTTTCATGCAATACAGCATCAGCAATAAAACATAAATAAAAATACGAATGAATGAGTGTTCAGTAATCGAATCAGAAAAAATTTAATCAGGCCTTGTAGCATCCTATTGAACAGTGAGCATGGTTTTGAAATTAGATTAAAAAAAATGTTTTTTAATTATCCGGAATGCACGGAGATGATACTCGAGTGAGGAAGCAAATTCGTCAAATAAGTTCTCGTTTCGTCAAAAAACGCATGATTTCGTGAGGAAATAATTGCCGAAAGCATCAAAATACAGTTGAATTGTCATAGTTATGTTAATATATAAATTTCTTGTTGTTTATCACTTTCGGTTGCTTTGAATGTTTGCTTTGTAAGAGTCATATTTATACTCTACATTGACGCAATTGTAGTTTCGACTATGTTAGAAACATGTCTGTTTAATTGGGTTCAATCCTATAATTATACAAGAGATAGCGCGAAACCCAATTATCAGTTGTCTGCTTTTAATAATATTTTTGTGCTCTTTAACGTTGTCTACCTTAGTTTTCAATTATTCGTTGTTGAACGCGATTTATGTAAATGCTTAGAATCCTAAATGTTCTTTTATCAAAAAAGTTATTTCATTTCACTTCGCGAATAAACCGCGGGGAAAAATATTTATCATGAGTTCGTTTTCAAAATAATCTTCCACAATTGGATGACGACTCACAGCGAAATTTGCCCATTACATGTTTGTATATCAAAAGATTTCATCTTTAATATCGTTCTTTGGTTTGATTATTTTCAAAACGACCTTTTTCGTTCCCACCTTAGGCCTTCAAAGTCTGATTGAAAATGGAACTACATACTTTTAGGAAGCAGCCCTCAAACCTTCTTCTCAGAGGTAAAAAAAAAATTATTTTAAATTTAATTCACCAAAATGATGAAAGATTGAATGATTAAAATAATTTAATGAATGAATTAATATTTGAAAAAACTGTATTGAAATCAAGTGTCATCATTCACTACAAGTTTTTAAAAAAAATGCATTTGAAATTGAATGGATGACTAAAAAGTATTTTATGAACGAATGAAAATTTGAACTATATATATAAATATATATAGGGAGAGTTGGAACTAATAGTAAGAATTGAATAACCATCAGCTTTTTATCAAACAAACAATAAGAAAAATTTCTTCACGATTTCAATACTTTGTGCAATACTATGCATAAAGTATTAATTATTTCAATACTAATGCTGAGTAAATGAACTTAAAATCATGCAGATTTTTTTTTAAATTACGTTTTTCAAGCAGAATGAAATATTTTTGTCACACATAAAATAAAAAACAAAAGTCACTTTTAGAAAAAGGGATAGGATGTTTGAAAATAATATATTTTTATCGATTTGTGTGTGATAAAAAAGAAAATATTTCGGTTAGTGTTGAAAATTTTGTCTCATGTTTTTATCGATAATATAACTTGCATCGGTTAGAAAGTCCTTTACAGCAGACACAAATAGAATACCTTCAAAGAACTCTCATTTTTGATATTACTTTTTCTTGACATTGTACTATTACATTTGTTACACCAAATGCTGGAATCACCAATATTTATTGTAACACGAATTACAAAGATACTTTTTTTTTATTATTGATGCCTTTTATACCAGAGCGCGAGTAAAATATTTTTTTCCAAAATATTTGTTTTCTGTACAATGGTATTCATTTTGTTTCGTTTTTTTCTTCAATTAAAAAAAATGAAAATATAAAATTAAAAAAGAAGCAAATTCGTATCGCTTTCCTTAGGTGACTGACCAATTTCTAACCTACTATCTATTTGAGACGTTTGGTACAAAAATCAGAGATTAATGCATTTTTAATAGAGTACAATATAGCTGATGATTGTGAAACCCTGGCACGTATGTCATATTAGTTTCCTTCATTGTGATAAATAGTAATAGAGAAAACTACCTAATCCTGCTTTTATTAAAAACTTCTTTCTCCCCTCTGTAAAAATTTAAAAATATAACGTGGTGGTTGAACCATTATAATAGTAAAATAGCATCTTCCAACATACTTTGATGGCTGTTATTGGTCCAATATTAATAACCATAATTTATAGGTAGACCATCAAAATGACCATGCAACATCTTCCGTCTTGATGGTTGTTGGTCCAGGAATAAAAAAACATAGCATGATGGTTGAACCATCATACTCGTAAAAAAACATGCTCAATCATATTTTAATGGCTGTTGTTGGACCAACATGAGTGAACACAACTTGTTGGTAAACTATCAAAATGGCCATACAACATCTTCCATTATATTTTGATGGTTGTTGTTTGTCCAACAATAAAAAAACATAACTTATTGGTTGACTATCATAATGGTAAAACAACCTCTGCCATCAAAATAGGATGGTTCATATTGGTCCATCAAAAATCAAACATTACTTGAGGTTTACCATCATAACACAAAAGCGACATTTTCATCTTGTAATGATGGAAATTTACTGGAACATCAAAAACTAGATGGAAATTGTTGTATGATGATGACCATCAACATATATTGGACCATCAAGACGTAAAATAAATTCAGTGTAAAATAACCTCAGTGACGGAAAATAACCTCTTATCAATGCGTCGCAGGTTATAGGATTGGTGATTGCGCGCCCTTCAATCATCCCCACACTTTCTTCTAAATAACATTTATTTTTGCTTAAGTTGTTATTATTGTTTATTGCTGAAGCATTGTTAAGGTTTGCCATGAAACAGTATTGGTGAAAACGTCACGTGAACTCTCAGAAGCTTCTTTAACCAGAATTACCCATGGATACTAATATTTGTTTTTGTCATTTGATTCATCTCCATCTTTTGTCTGTTGTAAAATGTAAACTAAAAGTGTCAACCAGTCTTGGCGAAAACTTTTAGTTTAGTTTAGAAAAAGCAAGTAATAAAACTGAAAAAAATAATTTAAATTATTTAACGTTGAATAATAGGTTTGTATAAAGTATCCTTGACAAACTCATGACAGCCTATTAGAAAGAAAACTTGACTTAGAAACTTTTAGAATTCACTATTTTCAGTGTGTACAATACAAAAAAAAAATTTTTTTCCCCAACAATACGCCATAATGTTTTGATTAAAACGTTTCTTAAAATTTAATAATATTTCGATATGAATCTATTGCTAAACCGGCAGACGTTAACAAAAGAGAAGTTATACAATTTTCATTTACAAAAAAGAGCAGCATTGAATTTTTGAAAAAAATTAATCTAATGATTATATAAATTCCAACTCTGCATATTCACCCCCAGTAAGTTCCAGCATATCACCCAGTAATCCACCCTTTAATCCAAGAAATCGCATTTTTTCCCCAATTATTCATTGGACCCCCGCTGTAGAATATAAACTAAAATTAGAATTCAATGAACTTCAAATGAGAGCGCAATTTCGTACCTAAAAATAGGAAATTCAATTTCTGAAACCAGATTCTTGTGTTTTTCACGTCGCTTTGATAAATCTGACTGATCCCGATAATACAAGCTCTTTTCTCACCTATGATTTAATTTCAGAAAAAAAACAATAAATGTTTAGAAATGCAGCAGTATGAAGTGAAGCTAGAGATCACAAATTCGGTTATTTATAAGCACAAACTCTTTACAGTAGGAGAAAGTTTGTCACCCACATTTCCACCCAAAAAATGATCCTGAAAATCCTATTCATTTTAGGTAATAAGTTAAATGAATTTCTTTTTATAAATCAATTCAAAAAATATTCCATTCGTAGAAAAAAAAAAAGGTTTAACCTTC